TCGTTCCCTGTTCCCAGTAGTGCAGAGAGTAGGCATCCGTCCTGCCCAGCCTGGGCGGTTCCTTCCCAATCCCGCCACATAAAGGAGCAACGCCTCGGACTGAGAAAGCAGCTTAATCCCCTGTGGGCGGGTGTGGGGTGCTCTTATACACATGCCCCTTACTGCTCCTGCTTCCCCCTCCCACCCCCAACCAATTGGCAGAATCCTTCTCTAAAATGCACTTTAGGTGTGGATATAACAATGAAAAACCTTCAGCGGACATGCATGCCCCACCCGGGGAATGGACCCCTGGACCTCCCTCCATCCAGCTAGTCAGACAGTCCCTCCTCGTGTCCCTCAGCCCTCTACCTTTTCCCACTAGCCTTTCCTCCCTCTCAACCTTTCCGCTCGCGGTACTAACCTCGGCTCGGGTTTCCACACACAAGGGGGTGCTGGGGTGAGGTGCCAGGGGTCACAGCCTTTCTATTTTAACAATGAATCAGAACGTTGCCTTGAAGGTGGACGAAGACCACGCCCCTGCCGCTCGCATAGGCTCTTTCTAGGTGCTTCATTTACATGAAGACCTTGAGATTGGACAAGCCGAGGGCAAGGGGCGGGGCGGAGGCGGGCGGCGCCCAGATGCCTCGGAGTGCCAGACCCGCTGCACGCTCAGCCCGAGCAGCAGTGGCAGGGTTCCCAGGGGGTTCTTGAGAGGGCTGGCACTGGCGGTTCTGGCTCTTTTTAATCTCTTTCCCTTCGGTTCGTTCCCGCCACAGTCTCCTAGGCTGGCTTTGGCTCTGCGTCTCAATTTTCTTATCTGTAAAATGGAGGTGGCAGTAGTACCTGTGAGGTTGAAATGAAATGCCCAGGGGTTTTCGACCATTGCACATCCATTTGCACACTTCCACTGATGTGGAGCTCACTCACAAAATGCAAAGCTCCTCCTTTTTAAAAAATATGCCTTCTTTTCTAACATTCTGCACTATGCCAGCTTCTATTCCAAAATCTTTACATCTATGAGGACGTAGTAACCTGAAGGATTAAGTACCAAGATCCTCATTTCACAGCAACTAGGATCAGAGAAATGAACTAATTCGCCAGTGTCACCCAGCTAGTAAGTGGCAGAGCCAAGACTAAAACCCTGGTGTGTCTGGACTCCACTGGCCAATACAGAGCATCTTCATTCACTAGTTCACTCAGACATTCACAGGTACCTGGAACATGCCAGGCCTATGCTGGGCACCAGGGATATGGTAACATGAATAAAACGTGGCTTCTTCTGAGAGGGGGAGCCCACTGACCAGGGGGAGAGACAGACCCCTGAACAGGTCATCCTGGCACAGGACGGAGTGGGTGAAAGCACACCTTCATAACAAGGACAATGATCTTTCTGCTTAGTCCCAATGACTGTAAGCAAAACAGGGAGCAGCGAGACTCTAGCTCTTGTAGTGAGGCCATGGGATCCTGAGAGTTACTTGACCTGACTCAGGGGGTGGGTGGGTGCTTGGTTTGAGTTTGAAACTCTGGGTATGGCCCCAGCTCTCTAGCCCCCACCAACCAGTAAAATCTGGGGCCAACTCAGCGTGGCACTCCTGACACTTCAATTCATTCAATACTTACAGAGCCCCTCCTTTGTCTGTTGTGCGTGCTGAGGACACATCAGTGAACAAAAGAGCGAAACTCCTATTTTTGTGGCACTTACATTCTAGTGGAGACAAACAGATCAGATCCCAAACAAGATAAAGAAGCAATACATGGAGTATGTCGGCTGGTGATAGGTGCTAAGGAGAAAAATGAAGGGGTCGGGGGGTTGGAAGTGGCTGGTGTGGGGAGAGCATTTTTTTTTTTTTTTTGCGGTACGTGGGCCTCTCACCATTGTGGCCTCTCCCCTTGCGGAGCACAGGCTCCGGACTCTCAGGCTCAGCGGCCATGGCTCACGGACCCAGCCGCTCCGCGGCATGCGGGATCTTCCCGGACTGGGGCACAAACCCATGTGCCCTACATCGGCAGGCGGACTCTCAACCACTGCACCACCAGGGAAGCCCAAGAGCATTACTTTTTAAATAAGGTGGTCAGGAAGTATTTACAGCTGGATCTCATATATATACACATATATTTAGTCAATAAAACAATTCCAATGGCTCTATTTCTTAACATTACAAAAAGCCAAAAATAAATTATTTAGAAAATGTTAAACATTAAAAAATAAATAAGGTGGTCGGCGATGGCCTCTCTGAGATGGCGACCTTTGAGTAAAGACCTGGAGAAGACGTGGCAGTGAGCCTGCAGGTCCTGGGAAAAGCATTTCAGGCTGAGGGGAAGGAAGCAGTGAGGCTGGAGGGGAAAGAATAAGGAGGTGAGGGGGAGAGTCAGTGGGTGGGACTGGTGGGCTGTCCTGAGTGCTCTCCGCAGCTCTGGAGCTACCTGGTTGCATTCCTCCAGGGCAGGGAAAACAGTTGTGGTGGGGGGATCGGGGTTGGGCAGCAGCCAGGGTCCTGAAGGGGGCCGGTGAGCCAAGGGTGTGTTGGGATGAGTGAAGGGGTCTGTTGGAGGGAGCCCCTTCCTGTGGGGGACAGTGGTACTTTCATCCCTGTGATGGGAAGGGCAGCTACAACCCCATTGTACAGATGGGAAACTCAAGACTCAAGCAAGTTGCCCAAAGCCACCCAGACCCTCGATGACAGTGCCTGGTCTGAAAACACACTCAAGTTCTGTGGGATGGCTCAGGGCATAATGGTGGCAGCCAGGGCAGCGTCCCACTTGTCACCATTTAGCCCCAGCCTCCCATTCCCCTTTCTGCTCCCTGAAGAGTCTGTGCCTGCTCACCTCCACCCCTTGGCTCACATCCTTCCCCTCGGCGCAGACATACCTCTTCAGAGATTTGGGGAAGCAGAACAGTAAGTGACAGTTCTAATCCCACTCTACCCTCCTGAGCCTCAGTTTCCTCACTGATCAAGCGGGAAGGGTCATCCCAGGCCTCCGGGCTCACAGGCCTATTGGAGTGTCACATGGTCTGGGCAGACAAGGTAGCAATGCAGGGGGCTGTGACCCAGTGGAGCAGGGGCTGGAAGGTATGAGTCTCTAAAACGGTCATCAGGGCTGGCTCCAGCCCAAAGCTACCTACCCTGTAAAGTGGTGATCCAAAGCCTGCAGAAGCTGAAGCTGGAAATCTGAACTTTTATATAAAGCCTCAAAAAATTTTAAATATGGCTAAATCAAATTGTTTTCAAACATTATGTGAGTCAAATCAAACTAACCCTCAGGACTTCTCTTTTATGCAGTGTCTCTGAAATGGTAAATCACAGATTTTCATCCTTTAGTTATGGCTTAAATGCCCACCCCCTCCAGGAAGCCCTCCCTGGCTTCCCCAGCCTTAAGTGTGGGCTCACTCTGCCGGGCTACTGTGCAAGACTCCCGTTGTTCCTGGGGTGTCTTTCACATTGTCGACCATGTGAGTGGCGCCCCCTGGAGGTAAGATCCTGGATCTCCGCCTCCCGTTTCTTTGGGTTTGTTCAGCTAGTCCGGCAGTGTTAACCAGTGTTAACGTAGGTATCTAGGGTGTGACTTATTTCTTTGCGGAAGGACCCATGGCTTGGGTATATCTACCTTCTTGATCCTTCCCTGGAGATGTACATGTGCCCAGCCAGAGATGACCCTCAGCTTAAATCCCAGCTCCAACTGAGAGACAGTGAGCAGTTAGAACTCAGCTGAAACAGTGTCCTGGAGGACATCAGGGTAGGGTTGGGGGGCATCTCAATGTGCCTCACCTGCAAAATGGGCTTAATGGAATTCCCTACCCTGTGGGGTTATGGTGAGAACTCAGTGAGTTGAACCAGGTAAAGAGTGACTGGTATACAGTGAGTGCTCAATAAGTGTTATCATCTCTCTTCCTCTCTGTCCCTATAGAAACAGCTCAGGCAATCTAAGTCCCTGGAGGGCACGGACCACCCTGTCTTGCTCACCAGTGTATCCCCAGTGCTAACCACCCAATACTGGTGCTTTACTAAGCACTTCCCTACCGGTGCTCAGTAAACACTTGCTGAGAGAGCAAGTGGTACCTGCATGAGAGGAGGGTCTACCCACCCCTCCCCCGGATTATTGCTGGAGGGTCTTGGAGCTTCCAGTCCCCCTGGTGCACCCTGACGCTGCCACCAAGGAGATTTCTCTCAAATGAATCCCTGACTGACTCTCCCCAGGCTCAACCCCCACTCCCAGATCGGAGGCTCCCGCTGCCCCAAGATAAGGGTCCAGATCCTTAGCTCAGTATCTGAGGCCCTTAAGGGTCTGGTCCCCGCCGGCCTCTGCAGCTTTCTCCTCTCCTCTGACCACCCCTCCCCCACCTTTGCTCACCAAGGGCTCTCGGCCTGCCCATCCCCTCTCCCATCCACCTGGCCAAGCCATCTTCCAAGACTCCTTTCAATGTCGCCTCCTCTCTGTTCTGTGCCCCCCGGGCCTATACTTTATTGAACCGACCTCCAGGGTGATCTCTATGTGTCTGTCTCCCTCATGAGACGTGAGGATCATGTCTTATTATCTATAACGGGGTAACTTTTGATATAACTTAACCTGAGACTCAGTTTTCTCAACTGTCGAATGGAGCTAGTACCCACTTCACAGTGCTGCTGTTGAGTTAATGTCATCACTGGCACATTGGAGGTGCTTGGTAAATTTGTTTTCCGTCCTCCTTCTTTTGGTTATTTGCCAATCATGATGGCTAAGGGGGAAGGGAGAGGGCAAAGCTCACTGGACAGGGAAGGTTTCAGCAAGGGCCCACGGGAGATGGTTGTGGCGATGAGGAGAAAAAACTAGATTCGGGGAAGGGTGAGCTGTGACAGGGCGAGAGAGTCATGGACATATACACACTAACAAACGTAGTAAGGTAGATAGCTAGTGGGAAGCAGCCGCATGGCACAGGGATATTGGCTCGGTGCTTTGTGACTGCCTGGAGGGGTGGGATAGGGAGGGTGGGAGGGAGGGAGACGCAAGAGGGAAGACATATGGGAACATATGCATATGTATAACTGATTCACTTTGTTATAAAGCAGAAACTAACACACCATTGTAAAGCAATTATACCCCAATAAAGATGTTAAAAAAAAAAAAAAAAACTAGATTCGGAAACTTGCAGACAGGAAAGAATGGCACTAGGGCCAAGAAAATCTCAAAAAGATTATTTCAAGAGTTACGTGGGAACACCTGTGAGGAGGGGGAATGGGTCCAGTGTAATCCAGCCAGAACTGGCCAAAAACCTACAGCGATTCAGGTCTTGTTTCAACAGCAGAAACACAGAAATGACCGACACAACTTCCCATTCAGAAAGCTCAGGGCCTGGCTGGGGGGAAAGAGGTAACCAGGTTATAATACGTTCAGTGTTTAAAAGAAAGAAACGCAAAGTATCCCGGGAGCCCAGATGGAGAAATGACTGATTGCCAGGTGTCAGGGAAGGCTTCCCGGAGGAGGCAGCTCAGAGCCGAGGTGAGAAAGGTGGAGGGCAGGGTGCAAACACCTAAAGGGCTTCTCTGGCATCTGGAGGAGGCAGATGTTTGCTCGGAACAGGACGGCTTTTCTTTTTTCTTTTTCTTTAATAACTATTTATTTGGCTGCGCCGGGTCTTAGTTGCAGCAAGTGGGATCTGTTAGTTTTGTTGCAGCGTTCAGGATCTATTTCCCCGACCAGGGATCGAACCGGGCCTCCTGCATTGGGAGCACGGAGTCCTAACCACCACTGGACCACCAACGAAGTCCCAGGAGGGCTTTTCTAAGATGGACCTGCTCACAAAAGAGCAGGCAGTAAGCCCTCCAAGCTCAGGATGAATTGGGAACCCCTCCCCAGAGTCCTCCACACAGCTAAAGGGAGGGCAACAGCTCAAGTCCAGGGAACATCAAGGTCAAGGGGTTTTTGGAGAGGAAGGAAGCTGAGGCTTAACATCAGATCCCTCCCCTCCTCAGTTTCAGGCGCTGGCGGGCAGCTCCACCCAGCCTGCTCACCTCAGCCCCCAGGGGAGAATCAGGCCACCCCAAAACGGATCCTACTAGGAGAGTTCTTTCCTCTACTGAGCTGAGGCCTGGCTCCCAGTAACCATGGCCATTGCTCCTTGTTTTACTAGCACAGGCCTGACCCATCTGGGAAGTTCACTGCGGTAACAGGAACATCTGGATGAGCGTCTGCTATGGCTTTAGTTCCACAGTTGGATCCCCTCTGGACAGCCCTTTACATATTTGGCTCCTGTGTGAGAATCTGCTGCTTGCACCCCAACACCAATTCTCCCATTAGTAACGCAATCCCCAATTCTTAGTGGGTACATGGTTTTCCAGAACAGACCACGGACCCCAGCCTTCCCTGCAACTGGGAGCTCCCTCTTCCTCCTGCCCTAAGCCTTTGCCGCCTACCTAATAGCACAAGCATCAAGTGTTCCTAAAAGGAGGGCCCCGACCTTCGTCCCTTTCTCCTTCCTGCAGCTGAGGGGCAGATATGATGGCTGAAGCTCAGGCAGCCATCTTGGACCACCACGAGGTGGAACCCATATGTTGAAAATGGCACAAAACAAAAAGCTAAAAGCCTGCCATCTCCACTCCAGGCTAGCTACCTTCCATCTTTGTTAACCTGAGAATTCCTCTCTTACATAAGCCAGTTATTTTAAAATCTTGTTTCATATTATATGTAGCTAAATCTAATGTTTCCTGATTAACCTCCTAGAGGTCCCAAACCACAGGGCCCACAGGATGGGGAGCGACAGGAAGAATCCAGGTAGAACATGGAGAGAAAAGACAAGTTCTCCAGAGAGTTCTGACTCTATCACTTTCAATCTTAGGATTGGCAAAAATTACCATGATTCAATTTCCTTGGTCTGCTGGTTTCCGAGGGCACACGTGGGAGAAAGTGGATGAGAACTTAATACTAGTAAACATTACAAATATAGGTTTAAGTTGTAAAACATCCTATGTCATTGGGGGTGGAGAATAGAGCCCGGCATGGTGTCTCAGCAGCAGCCACGCACACACGGAAGACACACCTGGGAAAGTCAGGAGCCGTGGGAAGAGGTTCATGCACGTGGTCTCCCTTCAGCCTCCAGGCAGGCCTGCGAGATAGGTGTCTTATGACATCTCACACGTGGGGAAACAGTCCCAGTGAAGTCAGCAGTGAGGAGCTCACACAGTGGGCCAGCGGCTGAGCCAGGACTCAAACCCCAGCCCGGCTGTGTGTGCGAATTCCCCAGGCTCATCTCTGCTCCTGATCACAAGGGGCTGTGAGGGAGAGACTCACTGCCCCGGGCCAAGTACCAGAACCACCTAGACAGCTTGTACAAGCTCTGCCCTCTGCCCTGGATAGAGGCAGCCGAACGGAGCAAGTCGCCCCACCCCAAGCACGGGCAGGACAACAGGAAGGCAGCAGGGAGAGCAGGTGGAAGGAGCCAAGAAGCCAGGTGACCGGGCCTCCCAGCCACAAGCCCTGAGCTTCACACTCGCACGGCCAGGTGTGGCCTTCAGCCCCGCAGCAGCCAGCACCAGACGGCGGGCTGATGGTGACAGGGGAGAACGCCTGCCCAGTGCAGGGCCACGGCTGCTCCTGGCAGCCCTGCCACGGGGTGAGTGGAGGGGAAGGCCGGCTCTGCGGACCCCCGATCCCTGCTCCCCTCCTCCAGGAGCCCCCGCGCCCCACGGCTGAGCAGAACCTGCACTCCCCTCACACACACTCACTAGTGCATCAGCTGCACAGGGGCCTAGAGCTCATGTGTCTCGCCTTTGCAGTCCTAGTGTCAGGGCCCGACACAGCTCCACTAATCAGGGTGCAACCTGAAATTCCTGTGCCCTGGCCCAGAGTCACAGGAACCAGTCAGTGCAAGTGGGGTCTGACAGTCTCCAGAACAGATGCTCCGGCTGTCCTCACCGGCACCACATCCACCTGAGGCAGCTGGACCTGGATTCTGCCACCAGCCCAGCTCGGTCCAGAGAAGAGCAGGGAGTGTGAGTGACGTGGGTCACTAACAGGCTGGCTTCCATCAGCTCTGAAGCCGCACCTGAAGGTCTCCCTGGAAGAAGTGTGAGAAAGCAGCAGGCCTCACTGAGCACCAGCTGGCCTCACGAGGGGCTGCTCTGAAAGGGCCAGGCCTTCAGGCGAGTGGAGGTGGATTTTCTTTACAAGGGACTAATCGCTCCTTCTTTGTGGGGCTTTGTCTGGGAGCTGCTGGAAGCCTGGGGCAGCTGCCCAAGTTTGCAGGGGTGAGGAATACTCCGGGACTTCCCCGTCTCCACCCCTTCAACGTCAGCTAAGGAGGCCAACAAGGCCAAGGAGAAGGAAGAGGCAAAAGGTCCCAGCCAGGAAAAGGCAGAGCCCAGCTCTGCTCAGCCACCGGCCCAGGTCCCAGAGCTGCAGGGAGGCCCTGGCCTCTACCAGTGGTGGCGCCGGCCTTCACCCGGGTTGGGGGCCCGGGCCTAGCGCTAGCGTTTCGTGCCCACAGGGAGGACTGCTGGACAGTGAGGATGACCCACACTCCAGCAGCTCCCTCCACCCCAAACGCCTACCCTCGGCATGCGGCACGGGGGCCAGGGACAAACCGTCCACACGTGCGCTTACTTTCACAAATGTAATCAAGGTTCGGTGGGGTATACATTTGGGAAGATGCCCCAAACGTGGCCCTGGAGGCTCCCCCTGGCGGATGCCAGCTCTCAGCCGCCTGCGTCGGCTGGAGTCTAAGCCCCAGGCCGGAGAGGTGCTGGCCTCCCAAGTTTGGGCTGGGACAGGACAGGTCCTTGCAGCCGAGGCTGGGGCGCGGCCTGGGTCTCAGGGCTCACTCCCCGCTGTGCCGGGCTTGGCCTGTTAGCCGGCGGCGCTGGGTCTTACTGGTACGAGTGGCGCTTGGGGGCTTCTTGGTGGAGTCCTGGGCCCGGCTGGGATGTTTCCTCCTGACCTTCTTGCGCCTGTGCGCGTGCAGTGAGGCCGTGAGAGAGGAGATCCTGTGGGAGGGCGGAAGGCTGGTGAGGCTCGGGCCTCAGTCTACCCTGGGGAACAAGGTGCGGGTGGAAGTTTGGGCAGGGGGGTGACTGATGGCCCAGCTCATGGAGGGGAAATCAGGACGGGCCATGGACGCCATTCCAAAGGCAGCACGCTCTGTCCCCCGAGGGCCTGCCAGCTCCTCAGCTCACAGCAAGAAAGGCCCTTACCCCAGGCACTAGGGGTACCCAGGGTCAGACATTCTCAGGGGGTGGAGATGGGGGGCAGTGAGGGAGACCACTTGACAAGCAGAGCAGAGGGCTGCCCAGGGCCCCACACGTGCCCCACACCACCCACCACAGGCGCCCTCACAACGCCAGCCATAGCAGCAGGCTCACAGGGGAGGACAGGCCAGGGCTCACCGCTGGGACAGCAGAGGGTCTCTGGACTTCCTGCGTAAGGCTCTGGTCGGCTTCTCCGCGGATGATGCCCCCTCCTCAGACCTGTGCCCGGCCCCTTGCTAAAGAAGCACAGGAGAAGGACTGTCAGGGAGCGGTGGATCGAGGGGCCTGGGCACCCTGAGTAGTTGCGGCTCTGTCGCGTGGGGGCATGACCTGCCGCCTCCCTCACCTGGGTCGGGGCTCAGAGAAGGCCGTGGGCAGAAAGGCCACGTGTGCCCCAAAGCAGGGATGACACGGGCAGAGCTGGATTCCAAAGTTCTGCACCACCACAGCCTACAGCGGACACACTCAAACACTCACAAAGGAACGAACTCTAAGACGGAGACGAGCCTGGTCTTTGCATCAGAACTTACAGAAGAATGAGCACCAAATACAAGGTGAGTGTGAGCTCAGAAAGGATGTAATAAAGGGGTGGCCCTCGAACTTAAGGACACCGTAACCCATGCTCGGGGCTGTGGTTTACCTGGTGACTGTACGTGCACACGCATATAAACCCCTACGCGACCCAAACACAACTTTAACTGAAACAAACGTTTCATAAGACAGCACTTGCTGTGATGCTTTCTGATATTTTCAATGGTATTGTGTTCCTTTTCTTTAAAAAAAAAATGCTGGTTGGAACTTGCTATGACTCCCACCCCACAGATCAGGGCACAGAGACATACCGTGCAGTGAGTGATCACAATCAACGGCTCTCTCGCTTGCTTCTAGTGGATCCACCACTTTTATCCTCCACAGCGACCCCACGAGGCAGCTGCTATCATCAGCAACCCCAAGGTAGTGGTGAAGAGAAGCAGACAAGGCAGAGAGACCTGCCCAGGTTCCCACAGCCACTAGTGGTAGAGCCGGCCCCTGAAGCCCCAGGCTCAGGGCTTTTGTCCAGGCCCTGGAGGGTGCCCCAGAGGAAAGAGCCCCTCACACTGGAATCCCATGACATGGACCCGCACTTAGTGAGCCCCTGGCCAGCTAGGTTGCCCCTGTGTCCCCTCTTCCCTGGGGCCGCGAGGGAGACCCACCTCAGGCGGGGGCAGTCCGAGCAGCCGGGCCGCTGAGAAGTCCAGGTTGCTGATGGTGGTCACGGTGACCGTGTGGTTGAGGTGGTCGTACTGCACCGGCTCTGTCTTTGCTGTCACCAGCCGGTCCAGTTCGTCTGCCTCCTCTGTGCGAGTGGGCACAGAGCCAGGCCTCAGCCCCAGGGCACAAGTGAGCAGGCTCCAGCCACTGCCCCCTGCCCCCAGCCCTGGAGTGCAGTGGCCTCCCCTGCTCTATTGGAGGGCATCCAGGAAGCCCCCAGCTCCAGAGCCTGGCCTGCAAATGCTGTAAATGACCCCCAACTCTTCCCTTCACACTCCAGGGAGACCTCAGACCCCCTGGTCCCCACCAGGACAAAGCTGGAGCCACACCAGGAGCTGCTGCTTCCGCTACCCCTCCACCCCCAGTCCCTCCAGGCCTCAGAAGCTGGCCTTTCTGCTCATGATCAGTTTACCAAGAGGTTTGGATCTCCTCCTGGTCTCTGATCCGCTGACGTTTAGAGACAGCTGAGGACTACCCCTGGCTGCCAGGTCACCACCAAAATCCCTAAAGCAAGGGACGTCAGCTTCTGTGCAGCCCTCACACCCCTCCCCCCCCCCCCCACCAAGGCATAAATAAACTCAGCCCGTTGGCTATTCTCCAGGACAGGCCAAGGATGGGATTACCCAGCGCCTCCTCTCTCTCTGCCAGCATCTTCAAGTATTCCCGGTGGCGCTGAAACCAAAGGGAAGGGAACATGGTGAGTATGGCCTCTCAGCCCAACCTCAGGCAGAGGCGCTGCTCACCTCCAGGGTAAGACCATGGCTTGAACAGAAAGGCCAGGAGGTCTCACCGTAAACCTTCCCCAGACCTGGGCCCACGGTGTCTCTATCTGTATAAACTGCTCCCCAGGCCTGCCCACACCTCCCCTCATCCCTGCAGGTGCCCCTTTTCGGGCCATCAAGGCTGCAAGTCCCCTGGAAGTCAGAGACACTCTCCTGCCCTCTCCCTCTGCACCTCCTCCCGGAGCTTCTTCTGCTCCTCCTTGAGCCGCTTCTTGATCTCCTCAATGGCTGCCTTCTTCCGCTCCACCTTCCGCTTGTGGAAGCCTGTCAGGTACTCCCTACAGCAGAGGGGCAAGAAAGAAAGTCAGGATACAAGGAAAGAAGAGCTTGCTCTAGAAAGAGAAAAAAAAAAAAAAGAAAACCTAATACTGCACTCACCACGTGCCAAGCACCATTCCAAAAATGTACGTTCACTCATATAATCCTCACAGCAACCTGCGTAGTAGGTACACATCCCCATTTTACAGATGGGAGACACTGAGGGGCAAGGTTACTTGCCCAAGGTCACAGAGAGCGTAAGATAGGGAAAGAGAGGGAGATGCTGCCTCTCTCCACTCACTACCCTCCAGGACTCTCAGCTGCCAGCAACAGGGCCAGGTGGTGGGCACAGGCTGAGGGCCTCTGAACCTAGAACAGGTGAGGGTCCCTTCTTCTCTGGCAAACTCCATTACTCAGTGAATTAAGCCACTTCCAGTGGGGCTTTTAAGGCCACCCTCACCCAGACCTCCACGAACTCTCCATTGGACCAACCCCCCATTTGCCCAGGACCCCGCCCCTGGACTCATCTGTAAGTTGTGCTGATGCCACCCTGAGTTTCTTTTTATTATTTATTTATTTAATAAATAAATAATATTTATGTATTATTTTTGGCTGCTTCGTTGCTGCGCGCGGGCTTTCTCTAGTTGCGGCGAGTGGGGGCTACTTTGTTGCGGTGCATGGGCTTCTCATTGCAGTGGCTTCTCTTGTTGTGCAGCATAGGCTCTAGGCGCATGGGCTTCAGTAGTTGTGGCACGCAGGCTCAGTAGTTGTGGCTCGCGGGCTCTAGAGCGCAGGCTCAGTGGTTGTGGCTCACGGGCTTAGTTGCTCCACAGTATGTGGGATCTTCCCGGACCAGGGCTCGAACCCATGTCCTCTGTATTGGCAGGCGGATTCTTAACCGCTGCGCCACCAGGGAAGTCCCACCCTGAGTTTCTTGATGCTTCTTCAGCATCTCCCTCCCTCCCCCTATCTGATCTCAGCCCCTCTCATCTCTCTAGAGCCTGCTGCACCATTGCCATCTGTTCCGGGGCCCAACGCTAGGCTTTTCGCTGACCCACTACCATATACCCAGGTGGCACTCTGAGTGGGGGACATGTGATGGGCCGGACGCTAAGGTTTAAGGGTCCGACTCAGGAATTCCGAGGCCTGGCGCGCACACCCCGAAGGAGCTTAGTAATCGCCTGGCGAATAAATGAATTTAAGCTACTCGTTTCATTCACTCATCGTTCATCAAAAGCAGCTGAGTCTGCTGCGTGCGGGGCCGCCGGGCTGGGCTAGGGAGGTCGAAGCCACCGCTCGGAGACCCGAGCTCCCCGCTCTCGGGCGGCGCGCACAGCAGCGCTAGGCGGGTTGGGGAGCCGAAAAGAGAAGTAAGGGCGGGGCGGACGATTCCATTCCTCTGGGCTGGGGGCCCAGTGCGCCCGCTTCCTTCCCCGGGAGCCTCGCACCACGCCCAGAGGGCGGGACCGGAAGGGCCCTCCGCGTGAGCGTGTGCCGGCGGACCTAGCCTTAGTCTTGCCCGGCGGTCCGAAGAGGTTACGGTCCAGCCTTCACACTCACCGCCGCTTCTCCTCGTCGAAGCTCAAAATGAGCCGCGGCCGCCGGCCGTCGCCATCTCGCCTCTTCTTCTTGTTGCGGCCCATAGCGGTGAGGCCTCGGCGGCGCCGCTCCCTCTCACCTGATACTTCCGGTGTAGCGTTTCCAGCCTCCCGGAAGTGCCCGCAGAGACGCCCCGCAGTTCCGCTCGCCAGGCCCCGCCTTTTAAAGGGGCCGCCCAGCCCGTCTCCCTGTTCCTCTCTTCTGCCTGTAACAGGCAAGATTCCTGCCCTTCCCCAACCCACCCCCGCAACTCCCAGCCCCACTCCCTCTCTTAGACTAACAACGGTGAGAGCGAGACCCAGAGGTCCCAGCGCCTAGCACGGTGCCTTGCACACAGTAGGTCCTCAATACAGAGTTATTAGTGAATGGCCGAAGATTGCTGATCTTTCTTTTGATTTGGATGTCAACTCCGTGGTGGTCTCCAAGAGCACGTTTCTGGAGCCAAACTACCTGGATTAGAATCCTGGTACCCCAGTTACAGCTGTATGGTCCTGGACCAGTTGCCTTCGCTGTGCCTCAATCACCCTGTTTGTAAAAGAGGACTAATCATAGTGACTTGGTAGGTATTGTAAGGCAGTGGTTTCCAAACGTTGGCGCGCATCAGAATCCCCTGGAGGGTTTGCTGAACCCCAGATCGCTCGGGCCCACCCCAGAGTTTCTGATTCAGCAGTTCTGGAGTGAGCCCCAGAATTTGCACTTCAGGCAGTTCTCAGGTGATGCTGTTGTTGCTGATCCACAGACCAAATGTTGAGAACCCTGATTGTGAGGGATAAGTGTGTTATGTAGCGTGTATGTATAACATAATACATGCCACACATGTGTTTGCTACACAAGCCATCACCCCTCTCTGTGCCTCAGTTCCCCAAGTATGGAGTTGGGATGTAGTAACACATCCTCTACTAAAAATGAGGGCATGAATGTGAAGGCAGTAAGTAAAACACCTGAAGGGGAATTTTAGTAGCTGGGATTGTATGCCTGAATCCCCCATTCTCAACTCATCTGTGCTGTGTACTGCAGACAAGCTGCGGCCCTTGCCCTTAAGGACTCACGGGTTCACAGGGTCAATGATCATTACAGTCCAGGGGATGACACCTCTGCTGTGAGATTCACGGGAGGCCGGAGGAGCTCAGGGTTGGCTCTTCCAGTGTGGAGGGCTTCCCAGAGGAGGTGACCACAGAACAATCTGGGAGTGCGGATAACAGACTCTTAGGACCCAATGCTCTTCTTTGACAAGTGACTGGAGCCCAGAGAGCAAGTAAGCACACACATATTGAGTGCCTACTGTGTGCCAGGCACACAGGGAAGGCAACTGTTATCTCAACTTGTCCAGGGTTACACTGCTGTTCTTTGGTAAAGCTGAGACTTGACCTGAGTCACTGGCCTCATGGCCCAGCATCCTGGGGCGCTGGCCTGAGGGATCACTCTCCAGTAGCAGCACACCCGCTCCGGGGGCAAGACGCAGACCCTGACCATGAGTTTTGAAAGGAGCTAGGCACACAGTAGGTGCATCTCTCCACGAATGTTGAACCCATTCCACAAGGGTCCTCCGCCTGAGGGATTCCACGTTGGGCACTGAGAGGAAGTTATCCTCAAATACAGGGCACAGCGGGGGGCTTCAGGGTGATGCACAACTGCCCCTCTGCCCCTCTGCCACCCTATAGTGGCCATGCCCCATGCCACCCTTGGCACCCTCCTCCTGGGAGAAAGCATTGCCTTGGATGCAGTGATGCCCCCCAAAAAGATGCCCAGCGAGCCGCCTTATGTGGAGGTTCAGAGATAAGTGACTTAAGCAAAGTCACCCCATTATTAAGTGGTGTGCAGCGTCATCCTCAATTGCTGCCCTGTGTGTGGAGTGGTTCTGCCCTCCCGGAGCTTCCGGTCAGGCGCAGAGACTGGGGACCGAGTAAGGAGACACCTGCTTATGCAGGACCTCGTGTGGGGAGCTCTGTACAGTCCGCCCTCGCAGCCCACCGGGCCCGAACTGCCAGCCCACGAGTGGTTCAGGAAGGTCACAACTGCGAAAGCTCCTAGTGCAGAGTGAAGCTCGCCACTTCAGGCAGGTGCTGTTGCTCCAAACTCTTCCCTGGGAGTTCCAGGTCCCCTTTACTCCAGGAAAAGAGATGCAGGACTGGCAACCCCACCCAGATTCCAAAAGCCTGAGAGCCATTTACTGCAACTCACAGTCTAAAACACTTCCCTTTTTAAGTCAGCTTCTCCTTGACATTATTTTTATGTTTATTGAGCCCCTGCCGTGTGCCAGGCACAGCAAGAGGTGGTACGTTCTCCGTAATAGAAATGATGATGAAGATGATGAGCCAAAAGAATTACGGCAGCTGCCATTAATTTAGCTCTTTACACGATTATCTATTTTGAGGTATGAGTTCCATTTTAATGAGGCCCAGAGATGTGTAGTCACTTACCCAAGGTCACACAGACAAGAAGAGCAAGTGCTGAGGGTGAAGCTTGGGTGGTCTAAGGGCAGAACTCTGCTTAGTTTCTCTGGACCCAGTTTCACAGGCTCTTGAGACACACCGAGTCTTAAAAGAGGTGAAGGGAACCAACAGTTACGGAGCTCCTACTCTGTGCCAGGCACAGTGTAGTTCTCTACGTTATCTCAGCTGATCCTTGCAACGGCCGCACAGGGTGGATACTAGTACTAATGCAATTTGATAGATGAGGAAACATGTTCAGAGAGGTTGATTAACTGGCCCAAGGGCACACAGTGATAGAGCTGGGGTTTGGACACAAGTCTGTCTGACTCCGAGCCCAGTTCCTTTCCTCCACTGCCAGTGGTCTCTCTCCTTATCTGCCCCAGGGCTTTCCTCTGTCTGGTTGTAGTCCCAGTCCTGGAGTATCGTTGAGTTCCGCCAGTGTAGAGAGAATAAGTGGGATCAGAGAAAGGCAGTCAAGAAGACACTTTCTCTGATGTCCAGCAGAGGGCGCCCCATCCACAGCCAGACTGCCAAAGCTGTTTCTCTCTGGGTGGCCAGTTGGGTGCCCCAGGAGAGCCTGGAGATTGGGTGTGGCTCATGGCAGCTCCCAGCCTTTGCGCTCCATCCTTCTTGGCCCTCTTATAGAGATGTGCCCTCCAGCAGACCCACTGAGATGGGAATCACCCACCCAAAAGGGCCAAGGTGAAAATAATGACCCCCATTTTATGGATGAGGAAACTCAGACTGGGGGGTGGAAGAGACCTACCCAGGGTTCCACAGCTAGTGCTGGCTGTCCTGGCGTGAGATTTGCCAGGTTCCCACCCAACACATACCTCAGGAGACTGCCTTGGGGGTTGGGGGTGCCAACTGAGGTCCTGATTCCAAGCCTTCTTGGAACATTGGCTCAGTTCCCAGGGGCTGTTTCACAGGGAGGTAGGGGGCCCTACAGCAGGGAGCAGAAAGGAAAAGGTGCAGGGGAGTGGTCGGTCTGCAGAGTTGCCCAGCTATCAGCTCATGTCCCATCACTTGCAACAAGTGAGTATGACTGCCCTCCAAGGTAACGGAGCCTGGCCGGTCTTGGAAAACACGTCCTCTGGAAACCAGCAGAGGAAAGGCTCATGGAGGCCTCAGCTCAGGGAGGGTGAGTCTCCCGCACTCTGCGGTGCAGGGAACAGGCTGTGTGCAGCAGGAGGCCTCTGAGAACCTGAAGGCGGGGCTTCAAGTCGGCCCACGGGCCTCTACTTGTAGGTTCTCTGCAGGGGCTGGCGTATCCTGCCACCGACCCCAATTCCTCCTATACAGAAACGGGCCAGCAGGTGGTGCCAGGGCTATCGCCCAAGCCCATCTTCCCTATGTTGGGTTGAGGGTCCTGAGGAGGGCCACAGAACCCGAGTTTCCAGACTAGCACCCTGGTTGCCCTTACACTGTAGCATTGAGGTGTGTGGCCTGGCGCCACAAAGCTGGGATGCCTGGGGAGCCCCAGAAGGCTCAGCTGGGCCTGGTAGAGACCAGGGAGTCATCACTCAGAGCCTGTTTACTCCCCTTCAGATTCGGGGATAAGATCTCAAGAGGTAGTGCGGCAGCGACGGGAAACACTATCCACTGCGTGTGTACGTTGTGCCAGGCCCTACACTCATCCTCCATCACACACCTCATTTCATCCTCACAACAGTCCCACGGTAGTCTCCGTGCTATCATCCCCCTCATATAAATGAATAAACCAAGGCTCAGAGAGGTCAGTTAAGGCCCACAGGGGCACACAGCTGCTTTCCCTGCACTGTCTGAACCATATCTCTTTCTAGTTCATGAAAACAAATGACAGGGGCCCCGGGTATTCCTTCCACTTCCCCCTGTGTTGCCCCAGATACCATGGCATGAATCAGTCTGTCCTTGCCTCTCTTCCCGTTTTCGTTTATTTCAACATCTTTTGTGCATCTACTGTGTGCTCGGGCCCAGTGAGTTGGGAGCTGTTTGAGGGCAGTGACTGGGTCTTATTTAGTACTGAGCCCCTCGCTGTGTATCGAGCTCTCTGTTCAGCCCAGGGGACCCAGGGGAACAAGATGTCACTAGCACTTAAGAGGTATGCATCGAGGGAATTCCCTGCCGGTCCAGTGGTTAGGATTCGGCGCTTTCACTGCCACGGGCCCGGGTTCGATCCCTGGTCAGGGAACTAAGATCCCACAAGCCGCACAGCGCAGCCAAAAACAAAGGTATGCGTGCCCCGAGGCCGTGAATGGAAGTGTATGCGTGCACCGAGGCAGTGAATGGAAGTGAAGAAGGGGCGGAGCCTGGGGGAGTCGGCGGAACCCTCCTCTTCCACACCCACACACACAGGAGGCCGGTTCAGGGGGAGCAGAGGCAGCTGCCTTTATTGGGGGCCGTGGGCCGGCTGGCTTCACTCAAAGGCCACGCACTTGATCTTGAAGTCGCCATCGGCTGCCAGGTAGTTGATGGCCTCCAGGTTGAGGCGGTTGGGGAACTTGAAATCGTATCCACCAGGCAGCTGGATGGTTAGGTCCGCCTGGTCGAAGGAGACGCACACCTGGGGGTGGAGAGGAGCAGTGAGCGTGTGGACCCCACAGCGGGAGCCTCGGCCCTGCAGCCACGGCCTGCAGGTCCTAGGCCCCCCCAGAGCCCTTTCCTCACGTAGCCCCGCTTCATGGTGAGGCCCTGAGGTTGGGAGAGGGGATGATGCTTACCGAGGATCACACAGCAGGTGACTGAAGGGAGGGGAGATGGGGAGGGAGGGAAGGGGGCACAGGGTGGGACCCAGGTCTCTAGCCACTCAACCCAGCTCTGCCCCAGCCCACCCAGAGCCCTGACCCCACCCCCAGACCCCAGCCCACCTCCACAACACTTCCAGGCTGGAAGGGGAAGACGGACTCCCGCTGCTCAGCCCCCCAGGCCCCGCCATCCTTGCTGTTACACACGATGGTGTTGGTGTCCCCGTGCGCGTCGAAGCGGGGGTTGAAGTGCAGGCACAGGTTGTTGCCATCTTTGCCCATGTTCAGCACGAAGCTAGGGGATAGCGGGTGGGCTTGAGGCTGCCCCCTCCCGCTGCAACCCGCTCAGGCCGACCAGTCTGTGCCACTCAGTCCACGTTAATGGACCTCACCGGGGCAACGCATGGAGCCAAGGCAGGAAACCTGGATTCTAGCTGTGCCCTGCCACCTCCTTGCTGTGTGACCTTGAGCAAGTCCCTGCTCCATCTGGGTCTCAGTTTCCATATCTGCACAGTAGGGGCTCCACAGGAAGTATCTCTTAAGGGCCTTGCTATGCTGACAGCCAGGACTCTTGTAGACATGAATTTGTGTCCCTGCCCGTTTGGTCAAGGTCAGAGACTCCCTCCAGATGGTGACCTCTGGGAGGGCAAGTGTCCTGTCTGTCTTGTCTATCTCTGTATCCCTGGTGCCCAGCATGATGCATGACACACAGTAGGTGCTCTGTAACCGTGGGGCGAATGAACGAATAACAATAATGTATTTGCTGAGTGGAGGTAACAGCAAGGCCTCCCTCGGAGGATTTAGAAAGAATTACATGAGCAGTGCATATGAAGCGTGCGGCTCTATACTGTCAGCTGGTCATCAACGTGTGAGATGACCCAGCATTTATTTCACCTCCACACAACCTCCCCCCTCCATTAACTGATTAACAAACGAGGCTCAAGGCGGTTGGTTGACTGGTCCAAGCTCACAAGGCTGCGGTGAAACTAGGCCAGCTGGCCGAATGAATGATGAGCTAAGGAAGGACGGAAGGAGTGAAAAGTCGAGAGTCCAGAGCGCAGGATACACAGACCTCAGAGGGCGGGCAGCGAGGGTGACACCCTTTCACTCCCTCTCCCCGCCCCGCTCAGCCTCTGGTCCCGCCCACAGCAGTAGGGAGGGGAAGGCCAGCCGAGGCAGCTGACGAGGCCGCAGCTGGTTTAGTTTAAGGGGGCGACATCGGTGGGAGCGTCCAGACTCCGCGGAGGAAGTGACTCACCCATCACCCAGAAGACGTAGCCTCAGCAGCCGCCGACATTAACCCCGCCCCGCCGGAGGGAGGAGCCGGGCCCGGCCGGCCACGCCCCTGCCAGACGCGGGGCGGGACCCTCGAGCTCCAGCCCCCGCCCCTGCCGCCTGGCGCCCGCCGCCCCCGCCGTCGTTCCCTCACCTCTTGGCGTCCGGGGGCACCTCGCCCCGCACTCTGAGGCACTCCCCAGGTTTGAGATTCAGGTTGCTGGCGACCAGACCCTGCGCAGACAAGACCCCGCCCAGCCGGGTTAGAGGACGCAGGGTGGGAGGTCGTGCCCCGCGCCGGGAAGACCAGGCCTGCTCTGACCAGGCCGACCCGAAGGCTGAGGAACCCGGCTGCAAGTTCTAGACTCTCCTTCTTTGTGTGGTCCTGGGCAAGTTTCTTGTCTGTAACATGACTGAGGTTCTAGAAGACAGGATCTAGAAGTTTCTGCGCTTTAGCCCGGGGATTTTAGATGCAGAGTAGCCTGGGTGGTGGAGTGCTGTGCTCCATAGCCTCATTGAATAGATGGAGAGAACCAGGCTCCAAATGCGTCACACTGCGAGTTGGGGGCAAAGGAAGGTGAGTGAGGCGCCTGCCCCTCTGCTGGCGAGGAAGAGGCCTGGGGCTGGGCCATCCCCCACCATCCCCTTCAAGCTCCTCTGTGCAGAGAGGGGCAGGGGCTGGAGAGGAGACCCCTAAGGGGCACAGCTAGACCCCTCTAAGAAGGGAGAGCAGCCCAGGGCGGGAGCCTGCAACCTGGCTGGCTCGGGGTTAACAAGAGCCAGCGCAGAGCTTCACTGGTGTGAGTGGTTCCTCCTGCCAGAAACTTGAATCCTTTCCCTAGGGGCCTGCAGAAGATTCTTGCTGCTTTCTTGCTCCTTTATCACAGCCCCCACCCCCCAGCTTGGAGGAATGGTTGAGCGGGAATTGCCCCAGCCCCCACCTGACCAGCCTGGACAGAATCACCCGCCCCGGGCTAACCCAGGCAGGCTCCCTCCCGGCAGCCTGTTTCAGATCCTGGCGACTTTTACAGCTCGGGAGCAGAGGGTGACTCTGCCCTGGCCCAGTGACGGGGACAGCTGCAGGGGGGAGGGGACAGGAGGCTCTTTGGGGGGAAGGGGGAAGGGATAGTGGCCCGGGCACCCTCAAAATGCCCCACTCCACCTCCAGTCGGCCACACCCTTCCCACTCCCACTTCTCAGAGAGCTGCAGAATGTAAGCCCTTGGCAGAAATAACTGCTGTCAGACCCTGGAGGAATCCAGAAAATTCTTAAGCCAGAGAAGGCCTTGGGGAAGCATGGAGCCCACCCCCATTTTACAGACACGGCCACTGAGGCCCAGAAAAGACACTTGTTCAAGGCCACACCACAAGAACTAGAACCCAGATCGTGATCTGCCCTCACTATGCCTGGCTGTCTGCCCCCACGCCATCTCTGGGCCTTGGAGTGGGGTCCCCATACTCACACAAGCCATGATTGAGGAGAGGAGGATGTTCCTGGGACTTCGGGACCAGCTGTCTGAAGACTACCCGAGAGATGGGCCACAGCCCGCTCCCACCCTTTTAACTGGACCAGACCCGGGTGAGTCCCGCCCCCTGGATGCTGAGCCAATTGTAACTCAGAAAGGAGATGGGGGCCACGGGAGGCGGAGTCAATGGAATTTTGAAGCCAGTTCTGGAGCAGAGATGACCAATCAGAGTGGAGACCCCCCCCATTCCTTCTTAGCCACTCCCCCACGGTCCAGGCTCCACCTCCCATTCTCTTACCCCTTCCCAAAATTATGCTGTGGCAAGGATTGGGGGAAGCCAGTGGAAAATAGTTTGAGGATGAGCTAGGCCCAAGAGTTGGCTGGAAGAGGGCCAGGGCCAGCTAGCTGAGCTCAGGGGGTCCCCCATAGAAGGCGGCTGAGGAGGTGCAGTGTCCTTCAAGAATTAGATCTGGGGTTCGTGAGGCTGCTCCCTGGCAGGGGCCAGGGCGTGGCCCGCTCTGGGCGCCTCTGCAGAGGACCCAGGACCCATTAACCACAAAGCCCTGCCCCTGCCTGGGCCTCCCTCTGAAGCAGAGATTGCGGCTGCTGCTCTCGTGCTCCTCACTAGCGCTAAAGAAAGGCTGGGCCGGTGCCAGGCTTGAGGCCGCCGCCCAGGCTCAGGGCTCAGGCCTCAGGCTTCGTTCTGCCCTCCCGAGGGGTCTGCCGGGGATCCTCCAAGAGCCCCTGCCTGACAGCCTCTGTCCTGTCCGAGAGGCTCAGGCCTGGGAGAGGGCCCGGGGTGAGCCAGACCATGAGGGGATGGGGTCCCCGGTCTGTGCACCCCCATCCACTCTCCTCACATTTCTCCCTCTGACACCCGGCACAGCTTTCCCTTTCCCCATCTGTTTATTTTACTGAGTACCTACTATGTGCCTGGCCCTGAGCTAGCCTCAGAGGATTCAAAGATGAAGCCCTCAGTCCCTGTTCTCAAGTAGTCCACTGTTGGGGCAGAATCTGGCCATGAATCTAATTAAGAAGTAGCACGATGCAGGCTCTGAGGGAAGTCATGAGCGAGCACCTTGGTGGGATGGTCCAGAATGGGAAGAAGGTGGGTCTTGAAGGATGGGTGAAGAAGCAGGGACTGGCATTCCAGCGTGGGCAAAGGCTCGGAAATGAGAAGGCACAAGTCTGGGGAACAGTGAGCGTCTGGGCATGGCTGGAGTTTAGGGTGTGCTGGGGAAAGACAGGGCATGAGGGTGGGAAGCCAGCGGTACCTGGATCGTGAAGGGCCTCACTGAGGGGTTTGGGCATTGTTTTATCGGAGGTTGCTGGGGAGCCACCAAAGGTTATAGGAAGAGTGAGTATTGAGGCCAGATTTAGGCTGCAGGGAAAATCACTGCAGCAACAGAGTTGAAGGTGGGGTGGAGGGGTGCTCACCTCACACTCAGAAACCAGGTAGAGGAAGGAGCGCGGGGAGCACTGGGTGAGGTGGGGGGCTTGCTAAGAGAGTTATCAACAGGACCGCCTTCACGTCACTGTCCCCCTTCTGAAATCACCAGCACTGAAGAGGGAAGTAGATGTGGACCGGGGGTGACTCACATCTGGAGCAAACCTGCCCTGCCCTGCATTGCCTCCCCAGACCCCACCTTCCTCCAGATGACTGAAACCCACGCTGGCACAGGAGGAGAGAGGCTGCCCGGGGCTGAGAGGCAGGCCCAGAGAGGTTGGGTCGCACCCCTTGCGAGCCCCTCATCCCTCCTCCTAGAGCAAGCCAGCTGCCACGGAAACCAACAACAGAGCTTCACTTTTTCCTCCAGGGCCTCCCCCAAACCTCAGCATTAGGGCGGGGTGGGGGGGTGCCTAGCTCCACTGCCTTTCCTCTGTGCTTCCCCTCCGAGGCCCACAGACACTCTCTCTGCCTGGTCAAGGAATGGGGGCATTTCAGGAGGAGTCCAGGCAGTCATTGCTGTGACTGCCATCAGGTGGGACTGGCTGGCTGTTCCAACCCAGTAGTTGGGCTCTCAGGGCCTCAGGAGCTGCTCCTCCATTCTTCCCCCAACCTGGAAGACGGGTCCAGCACCAGGAAGCGTTTGCTGTTGGATGAGGGGCTGCTTTACTCCTCTCCGGCATCTGGCCTGTCGAGAGATGGAGTGGCAGGGTGACAGGGTGTATAGGCTCCCGGAAAGGCCCCTTTGGGAGTCTGGAGACTTGGGTTCTGGTTCTAGCTCTGCCACGCCCTCCCCAGGGTATCCTGGCAAGCTGCTTCTCCCTGCTTGCCTCAGTCTCCCCGTCTGTGAATTGGGGATGTGCAGCCCTGCTCTCCTGCATAAGGTTAGTACAAGGTGGAGTTCAGGTCTGTTGTACTTAATAGATGATTATTTTTTTCAGAGAGTCTCAGAAGGTTTTAGCCTTCCTCTTGTCTCTTCTCCCAGGCTGAGTTCACCTTCCTGGGTCGGCATTTCTGGGAGGCCTCCCCCTCACCACCACCCCCCATCCCTTGGCAGTCTCCTCCTGCCTAGGCTGCGGTGGGGAGTCTCCCCAGAGTCCAGTGACCCCTATAACAGGGGCCGCAGTTTTCCTGAGGCAGGGACCAGGGACAAGGTGCATTGTGTGCCCCCCGCCCCCATCTTGGGGCCTCCTATTGGTGGCGCCTACTTATCTGTCAGGCCCTGTGCCCGGCGCCTCACTTTCATACATTATCTCATTTCGTCTTCACCTCCCTCCTGAAGCAGGCCACGTGGGTGAAACTTCTGCACAGGGAAGCTGCTCTGGGGCCCTGAAATGAAGCCGACGTTAGAATCAGAGAAGACGGACAAGTCCTGATTTGGGGGCTACCTCGCTGTGACTCTAGCCTTGGTCCTTGTCCTCCCTGAACCTGTATCCAGGCCCGGAAGGTGGGAATGTTACCCATCTTGGAGGGTAGCAGGATTGCAGGAGTGATGTGAGAGGGGCTGCACGTCAGCTCTCTCTCCTGCACCCCCGAAGGCCAAGGGCACCCACCCCAGGGACTCTCCTCCCCCTCACTGGCCTGCCGCAGAGGCAGCGAGCTCTCTGGAATTCCTCCATCCTACAGGCTGGTGCTATGGGCTGGACCTTGGCTGCTGCCATGAGAAATGAGCTGAACTTGTCCAGACAGGGGATCCAGGCCAGCACGGCCCTTCCCAGCCTGCCCACTCCTGCCCTGCCCCCCGTGAAGGCCGCGCCTCCTCCAGCTGGCCATGGTGGAGAGGGCTGCCAGGCCCACTGAGACACCATCCACACCCCCAGGCAACCTGGCTGGCTCAGCTGGGGAAAGTGTGGGTGGTCAGAGCCTCCAGAGCTCCTTCACTGAATGATGCAGAGACCACCCAGAGAGCGTGGCCACGTGGCCAGGGTCACACACGGAGCTAGCGCTGCAGCCCTCTCATCTGCCGAGCCAAGGAAAGAACACTGTGGTCTGGGGATACCTGGACCTCAAAATGATCTTTTCCTCCTGCTCCATGAAGGAAGGACTAGTTGGGGGCTGCCCCCAACTTCAGATACTTTTCCAACCAGTTTGTGCTGGAGCCCGCCTCCCCACTTACCCACTCATCCAGTCCCACCTCCCTGCCTTTGCTTATGCTGTTCCACCTGCCCCAGCCAGCCACCTCCCCAAACACAGTACACTCTGTCACTTTTGCCTTCCCACCTGGTGTTTGTCGCCCTCTGAACACATGCCCCAGCTCGCCTTTGGGGAACACTCCTCCTCTCATAGGAGGGCTGGGTGGGGTCCAGACCCTGTCATTCATTAGCCCTCCAGGGCTCAGGCATGAGTCTTTTTTATTTTTTTAAACGTTTGGGGGTGTGTGTGTGTGACAATTATAGACTCAGAGGAAGCTAAGAGTTTTTTAAAAGCTTAGAAAATATTTGAGACTTGAAGAAAAAAATGTGTTTGCCCCAAAATTCTAAGACTGAAGAGCTGAAATTAATGAACGTTTACTGTGCTCAAACCTAACACTCGGTAGTCATAAAAATTGTATTACCTTGAAAACCATTTTGTGGGTTGAATTTTCTTCGAAAGTGTGCCCAGTTCTCTCTAGAGGTTGGTCACTCCTAAATTAGATCCCCATAGCCAAATCATGTCTAAAACAAAAGCATAAAAATATTTGGAAAAATGTATAGCAAAAACACCCCATAAATATATTTAATGGGGCCTGTGGGTACATTTTAATGTTTTCTATAATGTGCCTGGGACCTGTGTATCAGGAGAGTTTGGGGCTGCAGATAACAGAAATCTCAACGAAAACTGCTTGAAAATTAAGGAAAATTCACATACCAAGCAGTCTGGAGCTAGGAGGTTTCCATGGTAGGTTAATGCAGTGGCTCAATGAAATCGAAGATCTGGGTTCCTGCACGATCATGGATTGTGGCCATGTAGACAGTCCTTGCTCTGCTGCACAACCACAATCCACAATTCATCCTTGCTCTTAGGACAGACAGGCTAAAGGATTTGGGATGAACTGTCTTCACATCTGCAACAGACTCTCGAATAAGTCAGTTAAAAAATGTGAAGATATTGGATGGGCCAAAACGTGAACGGTCTTTTTGGCCAACCCAATATATACAGAGCAGTTAAGCAAATCAGACAAATTGGGAATCTAGGTGAAGGGCACGTGAGTGTTCATTGTGCTGTTCTTGCACCTTTTCTGTTGGTTTGAAACATTTCTAAATTAAAATTTGGGGAGTGTGACATAATAAGAAATGTATATTTGGTCCATGACCCTAGTTCCTGACACAGAGTTCCTAAATCCTTTGGAATTTCCTAAGTGATATGGGTGCCCGAAAGAGCATCTTTTGTTCTAACATTTTGGTCTCTGACCCCAGTTCCTGACACAGAGCTCCTAACTCCCTTGGAATTTCCTGGGTGATAGGATCTTCTTTTGTTCTAATGAGGTGACTCTTGGTGGGTACCTGGATGGCTTCAGGAGGGGGGCTGGTCACCAGAAAGACCAAGCAGTGATCAGAAGCTTGTAACTTTCAGCCCCGCCCCCCATCCTCCAGGGAGGGGTGAGGGACTAGAGACTAACAATCAGTCATGCCTATGTGATGAACCCCTCCATGAGAATCCCCAAACCACAAAGTCTGGAGAGCTTCTGGTTTGGTGAACAAATCCACATGCTGGGAGGATGGCACACCCTAACCCCACGGGAACAGAAGCCCCTCACTTTGTACCCTCCAGGACCTCATGCTATGTATATGTCTTCATCTAGCTGTTCATCCGTAAGCTTTATCATATCCTTTATCATATAATAAAACCGTATTCGTAGTGTTTCCCGAGTTTTGTGAGCCGTTGTAACAAATGATCAGACCCGAGAGGGGAGCTGTGGGAGCCTCAGTTGGTCAGAGTGCCAGGTGATGACCTGACACTTGTGACTGGCATTGAAGTGAGAGAAAGTCTTGGGGGACTGAGCACTTAACCTGTGGGGTCTGCACGATCTCCAGGTAGTGTCGGAATTGAATTATTGATAGATTGTAGGATACCCAGTTGGTGTCTGCAGAAAACTGGTGAGTTGCTTGATGTAGAAAGCCCACACATTTGGTGTCAGAGTGCTGTACTCTGTGGGCAGAGGAAACAGTTTTCCCTTTCAGTTGGTGTCAGAGAAGTGGGATTTGCTACAAAGGCCCTGGCTCATGGGAACGTGTGGTTTGGGAAGAGAAAGTGTGAAACGGCGCGGGATGAGGAACCTTTGATTGCTATGTGGTCACGTGGTCACCCATGGCATGAGCAGCAGCTGTGCTGCATTGTCTACAGGTAAACGTGGGGGAATCCTCTGGTGGTCCAGTGGTTAGGACTCCATGCTTCCACTGCCGAGGGCCTGGATTCAATCCCTGGTCGGGGAACTAAGATCCCACAAGCGATGCATTGCAGTCAAAAAAAAAAAAAAAAGTCCCAAGATTATGTGCTTTATTTATTTTACTTTTTGCGGTACGCGGGCCTCTCACTGTTGTGGCCTCTCCCATTGCGGAGCACAGGCTCCAGACGCGCAGGCTCAGCGGCCATGGCTCACGGGCCCAGCCGCTCCGCGGCATATGGGATCTTCCCGGACCAGGGCACGAACCTGTGTCCCTGAATCGGCAGGCGGACTCTCAACTACTGCGCCACCAGGGAAGCCCTATGTGCTTTCTTAACTAACTAAATAATTTTTTTTAAAAAAGGTTAACGTTACCAATGGAATTTAGACATGGCTCCAAGTCCTGGGGAGCTGGCTTACTGATGCATAAGGAATTGCGAAAAAAGTAAAACTTACAGTCCTGTGGTTATGCTTATCTGTAATAGCTAAGGTGAAATAAAAAGAGTGCTGGGTGGGACTCTGATGCTAGACCAAGCTCAGATTTCAGCGAGTCTGAGCTTCGGCCACTGTTTCAGAGCCACCCCTAGAGGAAAAAATTATGGCAGGGACAACAGAAAGTACCCCTAAGGCCTCTGGTCACCAAGAAAGTAGTCAACATGCAGGGGTGGGGGAGGAGGGAGGCAAAACTAGGTAACTATTGAAACCAGGGGCTATAATGTGAAGGAGTTGTTTCATTTTGTGGATTGGTGTCATCAGCTTCCTGAAATATTAGCTGGGAGTCCAGTGAAGGCCATATGGTATTCACCGTGCTGTTCTTAGACTTTTTCTGTTGGTTTGTAACTTTTAGAGGTCTGGAGGAAACAACCCCAACAAGCTCTTCCCATCTTTCTGAAGCAGAGTCACAAGCAGAGAAATACACTGGGCCATGCTTTGCGATCACATAATAGCTGCAACCGCTTCCACGCCCAAAGCCCAGAAGAGTGAGAGGATGAGAGGGATGCACCTGGAGGGTGTTGGGGCAGCCAATAAACTCTCTTACGCCTTAGCCAGGTTGAGCCAAGTCCGTCACAACCAGAAGTCTCCACAAGAGCACATTTGCTCCCACTTCCTGATGCAGCCAGGCTCAGTCAAGTACTCCCTCTTCCCCAGAAGAATCATAGTGAAGAGAATTTTCCAGACCTCGAAGTCCTACCCTCAGCCAGCTCACAGATGGCCACCTGCTCTGCAGAAGGCACTGAGGATGCTCGAGGCCAGCAGGGTACACGTTCACAGCAGCAGCCCAGGTGTGAAGGATGCCTGAAATGGAGGGGGGTGCGCGGCACCTCACCTGAGCCTCCTGGAGGGTGAGGACCGGTCTCGCACCTGTCTCCACAGAGAGGGGCCGCAGCCTCCCGGAGTCAGCCCACACAAGTCCAGATCCTGCCTCAGGTGATCACACTTTCCAGGGGTGTGCCGTCGTGTTTAACTTAACATCACCTTTATGATGCTCATTCCCCAAGGAGTAAAGTGGGATGAGTAATGCAAGCTTGCTGGATTTTCTGAAGGACTGAGACAGATTGGTATATAACGACTCAGTGAGGCACAAAGTGCTATTGTGCTAAGGTACCACTGCACACAGAGAATACTCTGCAACTGGGGTAAATCATTTCACGAAGCGGGTGGGCCAGTTCCGGGGAGAGCAGGCTCAGGCAGGGGCTCCTCCCCCCGCCCCACCCTGGACACAGACTTCAACCCACAGACACTCCCACTCGCACTTTATTAAGTACGGGAGGACTGGTTACAACAGGGGTGGAGGTGGCAGGGAAGGCCCAGCCCCCATCCCCACCATCACTGGCACGCAATAATAAATAAATAGCTGGGGGTGGGCGCGGGGGAGAGGTGGCACAGCAAACACTGACAGCACGGGGGGCGGGCCACAAAAGCCCCCCTCCCAAGCTGTGACCACCGTCAACACTGGTCTGGTACCGTGATCAGGGAGGGTGGGGCTCTCAGCTACAGAAGCCCCCAGAGCCACCAAGTGGCCCCCTTTGGGGAGGAGGGGTGTCTTCAGCACTTGGACCCGTATTTATGAACAGAAATCTGGACCCCTGGCTGGTCCAGTCAGACCCAGATTGTCAAGAGGCCAGTCTCTCAGACTTCTGGATTGTTCTATTCAGGATCCAAGAGACTAATGGGTCATTATTACCTAGGGTCCTGATTGGTCTACCAAGGACCTAGGACAAGAAAGGGTCATGGTCGCTTAGGCTCCCAACTGGTCCGCTCAAGTCCCAACAGCAACGAGTCACTATCACTTAGCCTTCTGATCGGTCCATTCAGGGCTCAGGACAATAATGATTCATGGCTACCTAGACCTCTGATCGGTCAATAGGAACCCAGGGCCAGGACCCAGGAGCAGGCAGAGCCCTAGAGGCCCCAGGGAGGAGGTAGGGGATTAAGTGCTCAGGGTTGGGGGAAGTCCTCACAAGGCAGCAGGGCCCAGATTTAAACAAGCGGAGGTCACAGGGCAGGATATAAGGCCACCTGGCTGGGTCAGGCCAGGGTAAACCAGTGGCAGGGAGGGAGCAGCTTCTGGGACAGGAGAGTGCCCAGCCACTGCTGGAAGGGGGTCCGAGGGCCCTGACATCTTCCCTGGGTTCCAGCCCCACCAGGGTAGAAACTGGGGCCAGGGAGCTGGTAGCCCTTAATGCAGCTCTTGGCCCATCACCTCCATCTACAGGAACAGGGTGAGCAAGGGTTGCAGCCGCAGTTGCTGGTCAGGTGGGCTCAGTCCTCCAACCCCTCCATCATGTCCGCGATGCTCTCCACATAGTAATGGGGCACGAGGTCGTGCTGGCCAGCTGCCAGGTAGGTCTGGGCCTCCTCCAGACGGGAGACGCCTGTGAGCGTGAGCACGGTGGTCATGCCACAGCGGTGGCCGAAGAGGATGTCGGTCTCCAGGCGGTCGCCCACCATAAGTATGCGGCTGGGGTCCACGCTGAAGTGCTCTGTGATGCACTCAAACATGTAGGGGCTGGGCTTGCCCACCACCAGGGCCTGGCGGCCTGAGGCTGTCTCTACGGCAGCAGCCAGGCTCCCGGTGCCTGCAGGGACATGGAGACTCGGTTAATGCGGGTGGCAGCGGGGAAAGCATCCAGGCCCGGAAACTGGAATTCCCATCGAGGCAGCTTGGCATGGGGGTCAAATTAGGCACTGAAATGAGT